ATGTTGAGAAATAAAAAAAAAAAATTTTTAAAAACCTTGTTTTTCTTGGTCAGGCCGGAAACTTATCAATCCACCCTCGTATAGGAATGAAGCCGTGCATTCTAACGTAAAGTCAAAGAATAATATTTTTTAAGGCATAGCCCTAATATCCAGACACAATCACTTCATTGTCAAAAGGTAGACCCGAAAACATTTGTCAATGTTGAAAAATTTAAAGTAACTCTTACAGGCACATAAATTATTTGCTGTGTCTCTTCTTCGACTTCTTCTGGTAGCTCCTCTTGCACCTTTTTACCTTTTTTGCCTTTTTTGCCTTTTTTTCCTTTATCCTTGCCTTTTCCTTTTTTGCCTGGCTTTGCTTCAGTAACGGTTTCTTTAAAAAATTAATACAAAAGTAGTTATTGATTGAACATTAACGTACGGCGAGTTTTTTTCTTTTGTACCTACCTGTTTGTTCTTCTTCAACATCGGTTAACATTTCAGTCAGAGTCGTTTCCGTTATTGAAGGAGGTTCAGTTTTTGAAAAAGGTGTTGGAACATCCGTGGTTTCTTCATCGTACTCTAAATCTTCCTCTCCAATTGCAGTTTCTGTAAAAATTGAAAATAAAAATTGATAATAGTAAGGACATGTGATACGGGCAATATACGATATATCAACATAATTCCAAAAAATCAAAATATACCGGTATATTCTGTTGGTGGTTGCGTTTCTGATGGAGTTCCTTTGCCTTTTTTCCCTTTCTTCCCTTTATCTTTTTTCTTGTCGCCCTTTTTCTTTTTCTTTTCCGTCAGTGTTTCTTCCTCTTCAGGTATTTCAGGAGGAGGCGGTACCACTGGAAGAATATTTTTTGAAGTGAGTTTTTAGACTAATATATGAACAATTGAGACATTGAAACATCTTGATTATTTTTGAATACAGTAATGAAAGAAGTGGGAAATTTCGTAATCGAAAAGTCCCTTAAAATTGATTTGATTTTAATTTGTCATAAATATGTACTAAAAAAACAAGAGAAAATCAACTTTAAAGGTGTTTTTAATTTAAAATTTTTTTTCGATTGAGTATATAGCTGACACCTACCCACTTCCGGTACTAAAATTTCTTCCTCAATTAGCCTGTCATAAGGAGTTCTGTGAAGGTAAAACGTTCTATTTCTAAAGTCTCCTCCTTCTGCGTCTAAGTAGGTGTTCAATCGGTCATCACCTGCGCTATCATTTTCGGCCATCATTTCTTCAAATTGATATTCAGTATCAAGGCCCATGAAGGCCATGACCCGCTGCTTTATCCATTCTCTTAAGTAGTCTGTCATGGCTTTTCAATCTACTCCAAAAAGAAACAAAATTACAGATTTACATATGTGCAAAGTAATTTTAAGAATGACCTAATGCTCTTTATCAATTTGTTTAATTTTGGAAAGACTTTAAATGGATGAGCTAAGAGTTATTTTTCACTTTGGTGGTTCAAATTGCGAAAGATATCTGATAATCTATAGATTTTTTGTTATCTAACTCTTTCTATTGTATTCCTACCACATTGTCCGACATAGTAAAACTACCAGCAATGATTTTAAACAAACCCGAATGGCAATTTTGTCATTTTTCCCTTATAAAACAATTGTAAAGTGATAACTTTAACATCTAAAACTCATTTGCCTATTAGTTATACGTGTACCATCAATTTAACCAATTGGTATAAACGAATGTACTCACACTTATTTGTACTATCGTTTAAATAGCTCTAAAACTTTTAAAACATTTCAAAAGTTAAAATCATTTGGTTAAAATTTTTGACGTAATTGTCATACACTACGGTTTCTACGGTAAATAAACATGAATCGGTTGTTAAGGGCAGCGTCAGCTGTTTAATTTCGGGTCAGTTCCCCCAATAACAAATTCTTTAAACACTGAGGGTATTCATATGAGCTTTATCAATATTATATTAAATCCCTACATCTACAAAATACATTGGGAAAAGTCAGTTATTGAAGAGAATTAATTAATAATGCCAAATTGTTCCTTTTTTTTGGCATAGTTGTATGCAAAAAGTAAGAAATTAAAATTTCTACTAGAAACATTGGAAATTCATCATCATCCTAAGGTCGTCAGCATTAAGACTGGTTGGACTCGTTCCTATCCTTAGGTAATCTTCGAATTTCCCTAAAAATAGAGTATTAACTATTTCTGAACAGTAATTTAATATTGGTCTACCTCTTATCCTATTAAATTGTGTGTCTACATCTTCAAGTAACCCTTCATGGTGTCCTACCAATCTATCTTGCCTATTGATTGATCCACAGCACTCTCTGTTCTCCTACTCTTTTTAATATCTCCTCATTTCTAACCTACCTACTAACCATCTCTATCCACGGTACCATGATCCTATTAAAAATTAATCCTTTTCTAACTACCAAGAATTGTCACATTAAAACTTTTGGGTGCTTCATCCCCTTCAGCTACTAATGCTGTTGTATGGCAGTCCTAAAGGATTACGCCGGTGGTTAGGGCGGAAATCATGGAAATGGGGGCGGGGTAGCGGCTGGGGTGAAAAAGATAAAACGGACGACGTGAAGACAGAAAAGAAGTAAATTACTATGTGTGGAATACTATTAGTGCCCTAGCTACAAAAACCACAAAAAGATTTGCACCAGGGCAGATAGATCCGTTTTCAACCCAGGGTCCTCCCTGATGGTAAGCCTGCAGGACATGTGGCTCGGCAAGATTTCCTATCCGTCCTGTTCTCATTCTCTTTTAATCCCCTGGAGTTTTCGTGAAGTCAGATTGAATCGGTGGACCTATAGATTTGACATTTAGAGGAGATATTCTTTAAACTGTTACACTAAGGAGACATTGTTTGAAATTCCAACTCTAAAGGGGTGAAAAGCGATGCTAAGGTCTGCATAGAGAAACATCAATTATTTTCTTAATGTACGATAGGAGGCAAAAGAATAAGGGTCCGGTGATGGCGAGAACCCATTCTGTATCCACAACAATGTGGATTGGATTGAGCACACTATATGTTGACGGAATTTTACAGTATGTTATTTAACCTTATTGACCATAAACCTTACAATGAGTGGTGATTAAGTGAAATATAGTATTATTTTTCTATTGTGAATATTTTTTTGCATAAAAATGAACGTGACAAACTTGCTCTATTTTTTGATGGGTTTATTTAAATGTGTGTCATGACTTAATATCATTCGTGGAAACATTACGGGAATGTGCTTTTCGAATTTTATTTTATTATCCGTTTAATTGTAATAGGTTTTACCTCTGTTGATAAGGAAAGCCGTAAATATTTTTTTCCTGCATAGGTGCAAAATAAAAGGGTTTTCGGGCTGCGAGTGTTGCCATTTTGCGTCGTGCTTTACTGAAAATCAGTCTTAAAATAATCATATACCTACCGAAATGTTTGTGATAATAAGTCTTCTGTTGGTTTCAAGTAATTTGGTGTATCAGGCTAAGGGTTTTGGTTTCGATCTAGAGGTAATTTTAACCATTTTATTTGTATTGCATTCAATATTTTTAGTTGCTGCTTTTTTGTATTAAGAGATTTGATAGTAAAATTTAATGTAATTAATTTTAAAGAAATAGGTTCGTTAAGAAATCTGCTACTTTTTTAAAACCCCACTTATTTAACAAGTAGCAGTTTTTCTCTGTTTAATTAGTAGGTACTTTAGAAAACATTACATTTATGTACACCTATACAATAATAAATTTCGTTGAACATGGGATAATGACATGTTTAAGGATGATTTTTGTTCATCGTGTTGCGAAGATGAAGTATGGGGATTTATGGTGGGTTTTTTGTGCGACATACTTTGCGATGATGATGATGATACGGAACAAGAAAATACGACTTCACCCTCTTCTTCTACAACGCCTACTGTTCCTGAGGATACTACACCCGCTCCTACTACCACTGCGTCGCCTGGAATGTCTAGTTCAGATGCAACAGAGGGATCAACAACTAACGGAGAGGAATCAACAAGTGCAGGAAGCGAATCAACAACTTCAGATGGAGATTCAACAACAACTACAACAACTAGCCCTGCTATGTGATAAAAATTATTTCTTATTGTCTATATACGATCCTTCCAATAGAATAATCAAATTGTTTCTTCAGAAACTATGAAATTTAATGATTGCAACATTACTTAAAAATAGCATCTAAAACTCTGCCGCGTTGTTTTAATTGTTTATTAATCTCCGTAATTATTGTTCGTGAAAGTGTGATTTTAGAATTGCTGTTTTATATGCAATGTTTTGCTATACCTGCAGGTTTTTGTTGTTGAATAATGGAGCTTTATGTTCTCTAACTCTATTTTTAACCCTTCTACCCGTTTGGCCTATATAAAATGCATCATATGCGTTACAACAATTTTTTTTATATACTTACACCAGCTTTATATAATGAAAAAATGTAAAATGCTTTTATTTCTTTAATAATACACAATATTTCATATTGCACCAACTATTAAATAATATCGTGTGTGATATTATATATATTTTTGCAATTTTATGGGCTACCTTCTCGGTGCCATTTGCAACGTGTATAATTTCTCGTATAAACCCTTTTTGCGCATTAATTCCAAATGGCTACCCATTTCAGTAATTCTACCGGAATTAACAACACAAATGATGTCAGCGTCTTGAACGGTGGTAAGTCGATGTGCTATAGTAATGCAAGTACGACCCTGTCTAGCTTGGTCCAAGGCCTGTTGAACGATCTAGAAAAGAATAACGATAATTAGATAATTTTTCTGGTCACCATTCCGATAAAGAACGAATTATTACAGGTAATGGGGCAGTAAATTATAAGACAGCGCAATTTACTACAAATAAAGGAAATTTTTATAATAGAAGTAGATTTGAATATCTTTATCACTTAAAGTAGATCGTTATAATTGAAATTCATTATAAACGATGGTACTAAAGGGATTAGAATCAGACGCTAACGCAGGGAAGGGTTTTGGGGGTTCTAACACCCTCCGAAGTGTGTGAAAAAATTTAGACATTTTTTACATTTTAAGTTTTCATAATTACATGTAAATTTTTAAATAATTTGTTTATAGAATGAGTCTAAATTATTATACTACAACTACTAGGCATATCTATTGAAAGTGCTAATGTAAAATTTTTTCCTGCGTCAACTTAAAATTGAAAATAACGGTAAAATATTTAAAAACCCCTTTTTCATTTATGAATAATTTTTAGATTTCGTTTTTCCAGTTTTGTATTCACACCTAACTAATAGCTGGTTTTTCCCCCCAATTACCTCTACTTTTATGTGTAGGCATTTCATATCAGTCAGTATTTATCTATTTACAATATTCTTTCTATTTATTAACAATCCGTTCCTGTTGAAGATTACGTACCAAAAATAGTAATAACTATAAGTACTAAACGTATTAGAGACATTTTTTAGTGATCAATATTACGTCATAAAATTTAATAATCAAATATGAACGTGTAGGTACTGCAATTCTAAAAATTTTCTGCGTTCGCCCTTGATTAAAATTAAGGATTAAATATTACGATATACCGAAAATGAAGGAAATATGAACACTAAATTTCTTAAGAATGAGAAATAACTTCAAGAAATCATTTTAATTAACATGAAATATTATTCTGAAAATTCATTTCTGAATTTTTTACCCACTACACGCTACCTCAAATTAGTGAGGGGTTGGTGGTGGTTGCTGTTGTCACCTCTCGTAGTTTAGTGGTCAGAACATTGGTGCGTAAAGCCAAAGGTCCCGGGTTCGATTCCCGGCGGGGGTGTAACAACAGCAACAATTTTTCCTTCATTAATTTGAGGTAGCGCGTAATGGGTAAAAAATTCAGAAATGAATTTTCAGNGTACGTACGTACGTACGTACGTACGTACATACACACATCATCAAAAAAATTGGCTAGCATGCTACTAATATGTTAAAACGTGGAAATATAATGAAAATTCCGATTTCACTTTTCGACCCAATTACAATAACTTCCTAATGGGAAGTTAAAAATACCTTTTCACTTTCGTTATCGAGCGCAGATGTAGCTTCGTCCAAGAGTAAAACCTTAGGATTTCGAACCAGCGCCCTGGCAATCGCAATCCGTTGTTTCTGACCCCCTGACAACTGCGCCCCCTTTTCACCCAGTCTTGTATCGTATCCCTAGAGAATAAGGATCAACTAATTGAGTTTATTCTCTTCAAAAATACGTAAATACGATACTTGTTTCGATCTGCTATTAAATATGTGTATGCACCGTCACCGTGGATTATTTTTTCAAATTACTCACCAAAGGTAAACTCGAAACAAAATTGTGTATGTTTGCTTTCTTTGCCGCTTCGATTATCTCATCTTTACTGACTTCCCTGCTATTAGCACCGTAAGCAATGTTTTCCGCAATTGTTCGATCGAATAGGTTTGGTTCTTGCGATACTATGCCAAGATGTGACCGCAAAGAACTTAGTTTCATGTCGGCCAAGTTTTGCTTGTCGATCGATACATATCCTCTTTCCGGGTCATAAAATCTTTCTAACAATTGGATTATGGTCGATTTTCCACATCCACTAGAGCCCACAAGTGCTACAGTCTTACCATTCAGAATGGAAAGATTTAGTCCGTTAAGGACTTTCACCATGGGACGTGTTGGATATCGGAAGTGTATTTTCGAGAAGTTAATGTCACCTTTTTCCTATAATACGGAACAGCATTTTGTTTGTTTATTTGCTTGTAGTTAGTTTCGAATTTATAAATTTTGGAAAATTCCAATTCCTTACCCATTTTTCTGATAGATTTTCAGAGGTGTCCCTAATTTTTGGTACGCGACAAAGTAAATTAAATATCCTTGTAGCTGCCGTTAAACCTTTTTGAAAATTGGGAGTAAAAGCGAGAGCGTTAGCTATAGAAACTGTTCCAAATATAAGAGACTGAGCGACTCTAGAAAAAAGTCATATTAAATTTAATATGTTTGAAAAATAACAAAATAATTTGTTA